TGCAGGAATGTGGCCCGCATTTTGACTTCTTCTGCGGTTTTATCCAATGGGACTGTCGCTTACAAGGACTCTGGGCAATTGGTCTGTGAGGCAGAGGCTCTTCTTCAACACATGAAGATAATTTCTGGAAGTATGCAGTACGAAGAATTCCGCGAAGACATCCAAGATCTCTTGAATGTTCAGAATGGAGTGGACAAGCAACTTCGCGTGATCGAAAGGATGAGATGGGCGTATTTTCAATAGGAGTTGATAGCAGTAGGTATTTCATAGGGAATACCTGATATACTACGTGTCAGCATATATTAAATATAACAGACATATACGCAAATCATTTGTCAATATCAATCTAGGTCTAGCCCTGGAGGTAGTTAACTAGTTGGTAGTTAGTTAACTGGGTGTTATCTTGACGTTGCTTACATAACATACCGAGATCCTCCTTACCGTACCGTCATCACCTCCACTCCGTAGGTGGTGCATCGTTCTACCTCCTTTCCCATAAAAAACTCCAAAATCTTTAGCTCATGTATGCTTGATTGTGGATCTCTGCTTAAAGTCTACCATCCCTTCATATTACTGCCTTTTTATCAGCTTGGGCGGATCGGTTCCAGCATTTGACAGAGCTCCTGATAAGTCCTCGGCGTTGGGAAAACCATCAACCTAAACTACCTGATTGCTCCGATTCATCCTGCAGCAGCATCTACCTCTCCACTTCATTCAAAAAACAAAAAGCAATACCCCTTGTCACCCGATTTGACGACCCTCCGGATCACCTCGGTCTCCTATCCATCTTCCACGGTGCTACTAGCTTCCGCGCTTAACTTCTATCCAAATATCGCCATAATCCATAATGGCTGGAACACGGAATTATGATTTCCTGGTTAGTATCCATGGCCGTTCAAAACCTAACGACTTTCCCCCACAAAGCCCTGACAGTGTTAACTTTCTCATAGATTAAACTGTTGTTGATCGGGGACTCGGGCGTGGGTAAATCATGTTGTCTGTTGCGATTCAGCGAAGACTCCTTTACACCATCATTCATCACTACAATCGGGATTGACTTCAAAATTCGTACGATCGAGTTGGACGGCAAGAGGGTGAAGTTGCAAATCTGGGACACTGCAGGTCAGGAGCGCTTTCGCACTATCACGACTGCATACTACCGAGGTGCCATGGGTATTCTGCTGGTCTACGACGTGACAGATGAACGATCATTCCAAAGTAGGACTTCTTTTACCCCTCTCCTAATTAGCTGGATGTGTCTGACTTTTTTTTCTTTTTTTTTCCCCCTTCTTTTAGACATTCGGACCTGGTTTTCAAACGTCGAGCAACATGCCAGTGAAGGTGTACACAAGATCCTCATTGGAAATAAGTGTGACTGGGAAGAAAAAAGGGCAGTTTCTACCGAACAAGGCCAGCAACTCGCTGATGAACTCGGTATTCCCTTCCTCGAGGTTTCGGCCAAGAACAACATCAACATTGAGAAGGCATTTTACAGCCTTGCATCGGATATCAAGAAAGGGATGGACACTTCCAAGACTGAACAATCTGGTTCTCAGGGTGTGAATATAGACCAGCAAGGTTCCGGTCCGAATGGCAACTCTGGGGGCAAGTGTTGTTAGTTGTTGTATCACTGCCCTTTGTCTTTTGCCCATGATCTCCCTTGTCGCCGTGTTTAAGCTACCGCCTGTTTCTTATTTCCCCCACTTTTTCTTCTTTTCCGTATCTTGTTTTTGTTTTGCTCGCTACATTATCATGTGCCAAGATCTGAAAGTCCAAGTTTTATGCCCAAACAGTTGGCGCCTATGGACATTCGAGTATCATACAAATTTGTCCATATCCTATGATACCTTGACGTAGTGTCTATACCGTTTTTTTATACCTGATGTCTGATTCTCTCATTGTAGGTATACCTGTATTCCGTACAATGTAGTGATATCCGGCTGACCCACTTTTCTTTAATCTTTCTCTTTTCTCTTCTCGTCTCTCTCAATTTTTTTTTTTACACCTTTGGTATAATCTTCTTAATAGTTTCTTTCCCTTTTCTCTTCTACTCAATAGACCAAATCTTCTAGTCTTGTTTGAACACAATCCGGGACAATCCTGTTCAATTTCACCGTCCCCCCGGGAGTTGCCCCTCCCCCACCAAAAACTCTGGAAAATATTCGGACAGGATATTCGATATTCTTTACGACTTTCAGTGTTGAGAGGTCTCATGCAGTAAAATCTTCATCTATGATCTCAAGCTTCGAACATATCCGACAGAAAAAGAAAAAAAAGACAGGATTTCTGAAAATATCAACTTTCTTGCAAACACGTCAAGGTCCTTTTTCATATCATGTCTGACCCTCGCAGTTTCACTGCTCGCCCACTGTCAAAGCAGCAGGCACGGAAGGACTTCAAAGATGCATTTCGTGTCTATCTGTCTTCCTCCTCGCTAGCTGCTCTGAGGCTTCAAACAGAGAGTATCTGCACACTGAGACAAGGCGATGGACCTCCACAGACTGCCATAGCATGGTACGCTTCAGAGAACATCCAGAGCACAGTCATGCAAATATCAAGGACGATGCAGGAATGCTATGATATCAAGATCGGAGAGAAAGTTTCTATCACCAGGGCTGAAGGCCCCCTAGAAGACATCGATGTGGTGACATTGGAGGACTGTTCAGATCCTGAGAAAATTGCCAAACATGGCTCAATTTCAGAAAGTGACAGATCGCACTGGGAATGGGCGCTAGAGGAAAAGCTTCTCCGATGCGGGTGTTTGACGACGGGATTGACCTTTGAGCTGGAGCTCAAGGCCCAACCCAGGAGTTTCCGAGTGGTTAATATTCATTCACAGAACCCTCGCTCTAGTCATACCCTTTTTCAATTCACAGAGGTCTCAAAGGTTTCCCTTGGCCCAGTCACAGAGCGAAAAGAAGAAAAGTCTTCAGGTATAGAGGTGCAATCCACTGGCCTTGGAGGCCTCTCCCGCCAGATTGACGACATCAATGAAAGCTTGTCTGATTTTAACATTGATCCACGGAAACCCGCAATGCCATCATTCTACGAGAACAGTCGAGGAATTTTACTTTATGGACCAAAGGGGACTGGCAAAACAAGTCTTCTAGAACAGATCGAGAAGGCTGGCTGGAAGCAAACCTTCAGAGTTAGCATGTCAACTTTGGGGAGAAGTATGAATGAGGGCGAGCTTAAGCTACGCAATATCTTCCAGGAGGCGGCTCGCTCTAACCCCAGTGTGATCATTATCGACCAGTTGGAATTTATTGCCCCCAAGCGAACCTCGATTGAATCTCAGTCCCTTGCATCTGTTCTTTGCGAGAATCTAGATGCTATCCGAAATACATCGATCCTCGTGGTGGCCGCGACAAGACACCCCAATCAAGTCGATGACGCGCTCAGAACGCCCCATCGACTTGGCACAGAAATTGAGATCCAAGTCCCTACCGCTCAGGACCGAGCTGAAATACTACATGCCATTCGTGGGCCAGTATCTGCCGGTTTGACCGACGAGCTAGTAGAGCTATTAGCAGAAAAGACGCACGGATATGTTGGAGCTGACCTTTTCGCTCTTCTGCAATTGATCTGTCGCAAAGCCCGACAACGACAACTGTTGGACCAAAATTCCACAGCCATATCGGCCACCCCGGTCGACCCGTATAGCTGGCACCATGGAGGTTCCATCGATGATGAATTGACCATCTCATTGGAGATACAAGAAACTGATATTCTGCTTTCCCTGCAGGAAATTCGTCCCACGGCCATGCGGGAAGTATTCTTAGAAACGCCAAAGGTGAGATGGTCAGACATCGGTGGACAGCATGATATCAAAAAACGCCTCCAACAAGCCGTTGAGCGACCCTTGAAGGTAAGATCTGTATTTCGAATCCCAGAGAGCCCTTGCCTTGAAGACTAATTTTCTTTCCAACCCCCTAGTATCCCCAACGGATGCGCAGACTTAACGTGAATAGTAAAAAAGGTGTTTTACTTTACGGGCCGCCGGGTTGTTCCAAGACACTGACAGTCAAAGCCTTAGCCACAGAGGCAGGTTTGAACTTCCTGGCAGTCAAGGGCGCAGAGATTCTCAGCATGTATGTTGGAGAGTCTGAGCGATCATTGAGAGAGATCTTCAGAAAGGCCCGGGCAGCACGACCAAGTATCATTTTCTTCGATGAAATTGATGCCATTGCTGCTCGACGCAGCAGTAGTTCGGGAGGAGTCAATGTTCTTACGACTTTGCTAAATGAAATGGACGGTATCGAGGAGCTCCGAAATGTCTTGGTCATTGCCGCAACAAACAAGCCCGATGTCTTAGACCCTGCATTGATGCGACCCGGAAGATTGGACAATATTCTTTACATTGGCCCTCCGGACTTTGAGGCCCGCAGGGAAATCCTACGCATCTGGGCCAATAAGTCTGTGGTGAACCCAGACGTCGACATGGATAATCTGGCATCTCTGACTGAGGGATATTCTGGTGCCGAGATTGTGAGCATCTGTGAAACTGCGGGAGATGCAGCACTTGATGAGGAGGAGGAAACACAACAGGAGCAAGATGTGCAGTGGAAGCACTTTGAATATGCACTAGGACAAGTGCGGCGGCAAATCACGGATACTGTCATCCAAGAGTATGAGAGATGGAGAGAGGGCTAGAAGTAAATACCTACATATGTAGGTTTTGCTGTATAATAAAAGTTATAGGTTCTCGAAGTGATTTGAAGTCAGTTGAAGTGCGTATAAAGTGTCCCTAGGTGATTACCGAATTAGGTTAGTACCAAAATGCATAATAACCCTTCCCTCTCTCTCCCTCTCTCTCTCTCTCTCTCTCTCTTGGCGTAGTATTCCGAGTCTTCTCTTTCTTTCTCTTCTTAATTTTTCTATTTCAATTCTTCCTTCTCTGGGATTGCTTATTCTACATATCCAATTTCTACCACTTGAAGCCCTGAGATCCATCTGGCGCACCGTGCGCTGAATCTTCAACATGTCCTCGAGATCACCTCATGGACAATCACCTCTACGTTCACCGGAACAGGACCGAGCACGGTCGCGTTCTTTACACCGTTCGAAACCCCGAAGCGAAAGCCCATCCCGAAGCCTTACCCGGAGTCCATCACAAGGACGACGCGATCGCTATCGTTCAAAAACTCGATCCCGATCCCCTTCTCGTGGCAGAACCCGATCTCGCAGTCGCAGTCGAGGTGGTCGCCGTTACAATAGCCGGAGCGAAAGCCGCTCACTTACTCCCAACCCTAGCCCTCCAAGAAGTTCTAAGGTAAGTGCCAGTCTATTCCTGCTGTGCTATAGCCATACTGCTAGTGGTAGCCACCATATCTACGAACTCGGAGCTGACTTTCACTTCTTCTCTCAACAGATCGTGGTAGAAAAATTGACCAAAAATGTCACAGAAAGTCACATCCGAGAGATCTTCGGGGGATTTGGAGAGATCGAGTACCTCGATCTTCCAATCAACAAAGCTTGTAAGACTCGATTTTGACTCGCGCTTCGAGATTTATCTGTCTCCTAACACCATTACAGTCATGACAAATAGGGGGACTGCGTATATCCTTTACTACGACCCCGCTGACGCAGAGGCAGCCATTGCCCACATGCATGAGGCTCAGCTTGACGGGGCCATCCTAAATGTCTCAATCGTTCTTCCTCGCCGCAAATTCTCGCGCTCGCCACCCCCTGCCTCAATTCGAGGGAATGGTGGTCGCCCTAGATACGGTCGAGGACCATATGCAGGCCCGTTATCTCCTCCCAGACGACACGGAGGAGGTCGACTTACAGAACGCCATGACATTTATCGTCCCCAGACCTCATCAAGATCACGATCTCCTGTTCGCTCTCGTTCATACTCTCGATCTCGCTCACCACCACCGCGCAGAGGTAGCCCTCGCACAGACTCGCGACATCACCGACGCCGGAGCCCAAGTTACAGCAGCTATGGTTACAGCAGTCGAAGTCGCAGTCCAAACCGTAACCGAGGCCACAATCGAAACTAAACACCGAGAATTTTTGCGGTCTCGTGTCCTGTTGTGTATTTGTTCAGCCCTGGCAATGGATTGTGCGTGGTCTTCGGTGCGGGCAACTGAATTTATCTCGCAAGACATCCAAAATAGCTAGTTCTACAGAACGATCAGCAAGTTCTACTACTTTTAATGTAAGGATCACGAATATTTTGCAACCTCCTTCCTAGATAGTACATATACTCAGTTGTTGAGAAGTAGGATAGACCTAGTTATTAGGTAGTATATGAAACAGCAGCAAGAATAAAGATAACAAGGATGGAAGAACTACAATTTCTCATGCACTTGAATAGAATGTATGACCAAAAGAAAAGAAATCAGAAGAACGAACACCATCCGATGTACATTGACGCCAGTTTCTTCTTATCCGTTGCTTGTATGATCAATTCATCCACCTGACCATCCACCGAAAGTGCGATAGGCTGCTTGGACATGAAGCCACGGAGTTTGTTTCGAACATCTTCCAAAACGCCAGCCGGTGTGTCTGGGACATTCACATGGGTGCGACGCTGGGGTAAAGAGACTTGTTAGGAGGTGGCTTGTTGGATACTGCAGTTGAGATGTACTCACTCTCTTCCCAATGAAATCGGTTGTTGGATCATGTAAAAACGTCTCGAGTACAGTCATCAAGGCATCCTCGTTTTGTCGCAGTAGGCTGAGCGTAATTTCACAAGTCCTTCTGAAGGGACCTATGTAGCTTGGAGATTAGCGTGAGGGTAAAAATTGAGGATGTCTTCCGACTAACCATTGTACCCGTAGGCCCCAAAGGCATCGATCATGTTATGGGTCAATCGGAATGGTACCACCTCGGGCTTCTCAAACGTTTGACCCTTGTCAAAGAGACAGTTGAAATCAACATGTAAGAGACCGCCTGTTCCTTCTTCAAATGAAAGGTTTTCGCCATGTCGATCGCCCAAACTTTGTATAGAAAAGAAAACTGGTTAACGTGATGGAACTTAGGGTATCAGGCGAGAGCAGATCGAGAGCCCTCAAAACATTGAACGGTGAGAGAACATACCCAAGAACATATCCCACCATTGACATCACAGCAGAAGACCGTGTATACCTCAGTCTCGCTGTAAACCATGCTTCTGTTTCAGGAAACATCTCGATGAACCATTCATGAAGAACCGGCGGGAGCCTGCAAATTTGTCAGTATAGTAGACTCACGGGTGATATTAACACGGAAGATTTACTTGGCCAGAATGTGAGTGGTGAATAAGGGCAACTTGGCGAATGATCGATCAGCGCAAATTTCGTTCAGATTATGCCTGATCTCGTTGTACTATTGCACACGTTAATAACACAGCGCTGGGGATTGTGCTAGAGGTGGTGTACCCACGTTTGGTGAAATGCCTCTTTCGCGCAGCAACTTGATGACGATCTCTCTCAGTGTGCGGAGGTTATCAACCCATTCAATAAGACCACATTCCTCGTTGAGAGGTGTCACGGCGTACGTTTTGATATCTGTTCTGGGTCAGCCTTTGGAATAGCCAAAAGTTCATCAAATTACTGACACATGCGCCGCTTGCTTGATTCAACATCTCTCTTTAGGAACCGGTTGATCATGTTGTTGAATTCCATGAGACGTTGATCCTTACGCAAATCGTCTTTGGGCTTGCAAAGCGCATTATAGATCTTCCCGTCAGATCCTCGCAGGCTAATTTTCCGTGGCTTTTGAAGCGAGTTCAAAATCTGTGCTTCGTCCAAAACAGCTAATTTGGGTTAGCTTGTCTCTGAGGGAATAGGAAGTTGATAATCGTACCCTCGATGGTTGTTGGATCCCGAGGGAAGGCCCTGAAGCCTTTGATGTATTCGATGTTCTGACTGGCAGGAAGACTTGGAATCAACATTGCTTGGAAAGGCACCACTAATCGACATGGCGCAACTTTATGATTAAACCCTAGATTGCGGCCGAGTTGAACTCGAGATGACTTTTCCTCCACCGGAGCAAGGCAGAGTTGGAGTAGTTCTTCCGAGAACTTTGTACCTTGAGTGATCATGCGACGGATCTCAGACGCCGTTGAGGATTCCCCCTTTGACTTGTTACCATAGTCCTGGAAATTTTAGTCTCTGGTACTCTGTTTCAGACGGACGATACTTACTATGATCTTCTGTAGGCAATTATATCCCCTTTTAGCTCGCTCCTTGTTGGACGATTTGACAACGGCAAGGACTGTCCAGAGACCTTGCTGTGGGAAGTTGTGAACCGCCTTGGCTACAATCCGCGTTAACAGATCATAAACTGTGATATTAGGGTGACAGATCCTGGCAACCACTTGGGGAAGGATTGTGAACAACTGCAACTGTTAGTTAGCCATTCGGGAAAAACACATCTCTTAAACCCACCAGAGCCGCTTGCAAGCGTTTGTCGATGAATTTCTTCAGTTGCGCATGCATCTCATCGAGGCTCTTCTTCCGTTGCGCTTGTGTATGCTTTTGAAATTCCCTAGTGTGTGGGGAATCGATCATTAGCAAACGTTTACCAGTGGCCACACCAGTAGGCTCTTTCTTACTCGTTATCGCCCCTCTTCGGATCGATGGGCTGTTCAACAATCGAGGCATGTTCAAGCCAGAGGGTCAGAAGCTTGGGTAGAGTCTGGAAGACATATTTGGTCCCATATGTCAGCGAGCGAAGATAATTGTCAATCACAAGTTTTGTGGCTTCTCCACTCAAGCTATGTGATATTGGTCAGTCTCAAGTAGGAAAATGGGAAGTTGGATCAACCGACTATATCTGAGCCTCCTTTCCCATAGGCTTGGCCTTCTCAGACTCCAAAATTTTATTGTAATGCTTCCCCAGGTAATAATGTGCCCTTTCCCACCTATTTGCCCATTAGAACTGACAGCGTCAGAGTGGTAGTTGTCCAACTTACTTTGGATACAGCTTGATGGCCTCTCGGTATCTCTGGACAATGGCCTGGGAGTGGGTCTGACCAGCCCTGTCCGTCCATTTGGCCAGCATCAGATGAGCCTAGACGGTTAGTATTGTAGCCCATGTGAACTGTATTGCGCAACTTACGAGAGCAGTAGACTCATTTTGATGCTGCCCACGGTCTGAGAGAAACGACATGGCTTCAATTTCGACCGAAGATGTACTCGGGGTTACTTCGTTGGCAGAAATGGCACCCTCTAGAGTCTGAATGGCCTTTCGATGGTGCCCATCTTTCCAGAGGAGCCGCGCGTGTTCTATAGAAGCAGATCTGTCCTTCAACCGTGCTGCGTTAAGCATCGAGTGATACGCTTGGCTGCTGAAATTGCCTTTCCTTGAAAGGCGAGCACTAGTGAGCCATGCCGCGGATATATCAGAATCTGCAAACTCGCCCCTGTATCGTCCTCTTAGATATCTGTTTCATGTTTTGTGGACCGTGAACTCACGTTAGCTCCATTGTGGCTCGCCTCAGTCCCAATAGGTATTGTTTATCGGAAAGGTAGCCACCCAGAACATCCAACCGTCGGTCTAGGGCACCCAGCAAGCCCGGGCGCGATTGACCTGATTGTGCTTTGGCAATGGATTCAACCTCGGACAAAGCATGTAAGCGGAGCATGTCATCATGACATGCTTGTAGTGATGCCACCGAATTTGTGGTTAGTGAGCGGGCAACATTGAGCCTGAGCTCGTTGATTTTGTTAGTAAATGACTCGTCTTGCTTTTGACGAAGAGCATCAAGGGCTGAGCCTATCCCAACGTTGAACTCTTCAGTTCCTTGTTTGGCACAAAGGTCAAGATAACCCTCTAGCTTGTCCCATCTACTCATTATCCACGTAGCTTCAACCGCAAAGGGCAAGAACCGTGAAGCGGCTGACTCATTTTCTTTAAGAACCTCGAAACGAGTGAGAATAGCATCTAGATAAGGGTAAGCAAGAAGATAGAGCATGGAAAGACTGTTTCATGTTTGATCTTACCTTGTTGGCCAGACTCTTTGAGACAGGTCACAAGATTCCATTGCGCATCGACGTTGTCAGGTTCCTTCTCGAGCTGTAGCTCGTACCAACTCTGCGCCGTGGCCCATCTCCCAGCTTTCCGGTGCTCAAGGATCTGCTGGTCAATGTCTAGTGCGGACAAGTGGCTTGAAATACCTTCAATCCCATCAGGTTCGTCAATCTGGCTATAGATGTCTTGTAACCTTTGGTATAGAGGTTCGAGGCTGGATCTCTCTTGTGACTCTCCGTGGACCTTGGATTTTCGGATGTACTGTTCCCAATGGAAGAGTGCTTTGGAGAATGATCTACATTCAACAGCTCGCTTAGAGATGATCTCGGGTGGTATTGAAGATAAAAGATTTTCGACAGACTTGATCTGCGATGAGTATTTATCAATGAGCGCGTCGCGACTTTGATCTTTATGAGAACGACTCGTTTGGTTGGAATGGTGACTGAGGCCATTGAGATGCTTTTTCTTTCCTTGCAGCCATCTAGACAGGTAGTCTAGCACTTCAAAAACGCTCTATCGTGGAAGAAAGGGTCATCGTCAGTACCAGGAAAGCGACTTCAATCCCACGGGGATTCTCACCTGGCTACTGCTAATGACTGTCTCGCGAGCATTGTTGTTTGTCTCCGGAATAGGATGTGAGAGAACGCTTATCAATTCGTGTTGAATATTTTGTTGTTCTTTTTCAGTCCCCCCAACGATACGGTTCAGGACTGCGAATGGTAAAAGGAACGAAGAGATGGAAATGTCTTGACCCTTCACAACACGACTCGATATTGAGAAGACCATTTTTGCGTTGTCTCCATTCCCAGTCTGTAGAAGATCTTGCACCAGTGTTCGAAGCCACTCACTGTGAGTCAATTTAGGAGAAAAGAGCGGATAGTTGACCTCAGGATGATTCGTCACAACAGTGACCGTATAGGTAGATGTAAGAAATGGCGTAAGAGTGTTGCGCACACTTTCCGGAAGCTCCATCCAACGTTGATACTTCTCATCGCCTTGCAAATCGCGAGAGCGTTGGGTCAATACCGCATTCAGTCTGCAAAATTTGAGCAGACCTTGCATGGCCCATGCTAGGAAACCCTGAGCCCTAGTATTGGAAGCAGACAAGAATGCATCAACTAAAACATTCTGGAGGAAGAAAAGAATGAATGCGACTGTCTCTT